TTAGATTGTGTTGAAATGTTAGAAGCTTTTAAAATGTTAATTACTATTTTATTATTTAAAATATTAAGTCACAAAAATCTCTTAAAGTTGACTTCTTATGAGGTAACCTTCTAAGGTTCTTAGAAGATTAGTTTAAAAAAATGGAAAGATAATATCAAAAGCTTTTTTTTATTTTGTAAAACAACACTATTTTAAAAAAATGTTATGTAACAAGTTTATGTAAAAGATACCAAAAAAATAATCCAACAAATTGACAAAATATTGGCCTAACATAGTATAATATTTACAAAAAACCAATTCAGAGAATTGAAATATTACTCTGAAAAAAAAATTGGCTAAATGTTGGCTTATCCAATAAATTTGTCAATTGTAAAACTTACATTGGGCCAATGTAAACTTGCGATATTGGTATATATATATTTATATATACATATATGTTTATATTCTTATTCAAATATATATATATATATATATATATATATATATATATATATATATATATATATATATATATATATATATATATTCATATATTATAAAACAAAATAAATAAAAAATATATGAATATATATATATATATATATATTTATATAATATATATATATATATATTATATAAATATATATATATATATATATTCATATATTTTTTATTTATTTTGTTTATATATACATACATATATATATATATAATATCAGGGTGTTAACCAGGAATAAATTTGATACAGCATTTTAACGAAATTGGGAATTTGTCGAAGTATTTCTCAATCACCCCCTTCTCCCCTGAGATTAAAATATGCTCTGGGAAAGCATGGGGTCCTTTTTTGGTGTTCTTTTTTTTTCTACTCTACTTCGGCGCTGCATACATTGATTGGTCAGCGCCAAAAATATAATTGAAATCAATTCAAAATTAGCTGCTGTTTCATGACACAGCAAACTAAGAACCGATTTTCAAACATATATTAGGAAAAATATATATTTTTTTATTATAAACTAATCAGTGTATATTAATTATTATTGAGAATAATTATTTTGATTTATTTTTAATCTTTATATATTGTCGCTGCTTTCATTTCCAGAATATTATTTTAAATATATATTTCTTTTCAATGTAATACAGTAAAATAGCAATCTCCAATGAGCCAATGATCTTCTACTTCTATTTATTATATAAATTCTGCTTGATGTACCTTACGAACGAACCCTTACATCATTATCTAATAAATTGAGTCATCAAAAGAAATGTTTTGAAAATAGATAAGGTTTTAAAAATAGTAAACACGAGCTCATAAATTTCATATTTCACATTTTTTTATTCATAAATTACATAGCGAAATAAAGTTATAGTCACAAAGTCTCAGCAAATACAACAACAAATGTCGTTTAATTATAGAGTAATATTATTAGCAAGCGATTGCACGCCTGGCATTGAAGAATACAGTAAAAAAGTAAAAAACTTTAGCAAATTCAGTTGATATAAATACCAAACAAAAAAAGAAAAACAATAACTAAAAGATTTTCCGTAATACCTGTAATTGATCAAAAGGTATCTGGCATAACCTTCTCGATGTTTTTGTTGACGAATTACATGTACTACTTAAAGTTAAGTTTATGGTAAGACTTAATAAGTTATTAAACTTTCTAGCCAAAAAGGGCGAAACTTTTAAAGAAATAGGATTTGCAGGTGTTAAACCAAACAAGTTTGTTATTATTTTGGATCTTTTAGATTAGTACTTTATTTCTTGCTAATTTTTTTATATAATATTTGCTGTTGTTGGAATGCATTGCAAAAAACTATTTTCAAATTTTATTGCAAGTTCAAATGAATATACTAAATTTTTTCCTTCTTGGTATTCTGGGGAATCATTCCAGGTAGCTGGATCGTTGTTGAACAGAAAATCAATATCAACCTTCATTAACCGCAACGCACTTGCTGAAACTGATGTCACCAGCATGTCCAGAGATTTCTTCTCTAGACTTTCAATGTTCTTTAATTTGATCAACCTTTCAGACCAGTTCTCACCGTGAACTTCATGTTGGAAATCATTTTTCGCTTCTCTTCCGTTTTAATGTTGTTTGAAAACAAAGCTAGTGGGACCAATTCTAGTAAAAGGTACCACAAATGGTTTTAAAATTTCTTGACTGCTGCTTCGGAAATCGTTTTATTCACAACTGCAAACTGCTTAAGTTGCTGAAACAGCAACATGTCATTAACTGGAGCATCGCTGGCATTTGGGCATGATATCCAAGATTTTACATAAACCAGACTAGCAAATAAGCAAAATTCACAGAGATTTTTTTCCTCTTTTGTGGTCAACTTGAACTCTTCACGAAATAAATAAATCTTAAAACAATAAATAACCTTGGCCATCCAGCGAGCCATGTGATAAGCACCAGGGATCTTGAAATGATAATTTTTCTCTTCTTGATCAGGCAGTTTTCCAAGTATTAACAGACAGAGATCCATGATTTCTTTGTAGTCATCCCTTGGCATTTTAACATGCAGGTTTTCTTTGAGGAATGCCATCACTTCATTTTGTAGTTCTTGCACCAGGGGTATTTTCATTCGAATGTCATCCTGAGGTTTAAAATTTCCTTGATTAACTTTGGGCCAATATTGCTGAAATCTCTGGAAAAGAGGTATGTTGGGACCAGATGATGGTCCAAATAGTGATCCAAACACTCCTGCTACTATGATCTCATGAACATGGTGTCTGCAAGCAAAATATAACAAATTTCTACCTATATGTTTCTCTAGAACTACACATGCACCATTTTCGGAGCCAGTGTTAGAGGCTAGTGTTAGTATCAAAACTCATTCCAATAACATCACCAATTATGTCCCAGAAATTAAGCAGATGAATAACTGCTTTTGCTTGGGCTTCTCCAGTTCCAGCTGATAGTTTTGCTATTCCAAGTATTTTGTCAACATTGTGACCTGTCACACCTACAGATAGCCGGTCAACATTTGCTTTAGGGTCTGCAGAATTTGTACGATCTATCATCAGTTTGCCATCCCAGTGGACGATTAATGGTGGTTTGTCCAAATCGCAGAATTCAGTTCGAACAGTGGCTTCAATGTTTGATCGATGATAGGTTCGTTTTCTACGGACTGTAGAACGTGACAATGATCCATCATCGAGGTTCTGTCCACCAGCCCTTGCAATTGCTGCTGCTAGTATAGTAAATTTTGTGTCAGATAGATTAATTCTGTCTAATGTTGATGAAACATCAGGCGAGTCAAGAATTGTATCTAAGATACATTGTCGTTTTGGAGTACTTGCTAAACTTGATTCAGCTGACCCTGAAGAACTTGCTTTACTGACTTGTTGTCTGTAATAAACAGGGATTTCTATCTCAAAATCTCTATCAACCATTTTGTCATTATCAACAGCATCGTTATCGTTGTCATCACTATAACTTTCGTCATGTAAAGGTTCAATAACAGGAACTATTGCACTCGCACCAGATTGTCTTTGCTCTTCTTTTAGCTTTCGTTCTCTCTCTGCTTGTTTCCTTGCTTCATTTCTTGCTTCTAATTTTGAAAGTTCTTTGTCCTCTCCAAACATCACCATTTTTCTCTGACATCTCTGATCCAATAAAAATTCTTTATCTTCTTCAATTCTGATCATGGTTTCAGCATCCTTGTGGGCAATGTCAAAAAGTAGGCCAATGGTGTCTGTAAATGATTTCTCTCTTGATTTCTGAGAATCTGACAATCTGGATTTTTTTTTTTTTTATTAATTTAAATTCCTGGACTAAAGTTTTCAACTTTAAGACTACATTCGGATGAAATGCTGTCGGAATACGGGCTTTATTCCAAATAATAATCAGTTCATCAACAGTTGTTTTAAGACTTTCATGCACTGACTTTTTGGTTAAATTAAGATGATAAAAAAATGTTTTTAAAACATCAGATGTTAAGGGAAGAGCTTTATCTGGAAGATTTGGCTCTGGTTGTCCAATTAAAAAGATTTCGGTTTGAAGTCGTGTAGAGATAGCAACACGAGATGATGCTGCCATTTCAATGATAACTGAAAAATTATGAGAAAATCAAAACTCAATACCATATTATACAAACTTATCATTCATTTGTTGGTTTATGCAGCTGCAGCAATATATAATAATAATTATTACTAAAGAAATTAAATAAATATTTTCAAATTAGAAATTATTATTATCTGCACTTAATAACAAACAATACACTACCAGACTACCATGCTAGTTTTCTGTAATAGGTTACTAAGGTTAGGTACTATCAAAATATTAATACATTTGTTGTCAAACTGAAATTCCAAATAAAAATAATATTTATACTTGTAAACCTTTTTATTCTGTTTGAACAAATTCTAAATTGAGTTAAATAATAGTATTAAAATTATGAATACAAATTTTAACAAAATGATATAAACACAGTTGTTTTAAACACTACCAGACATTTTTTAGTCTGGTGCCCTGATGACAGTTAATCTGCTGCACTTTAATTAATCTATATAGCACGCAATCAGACAATATTTCAGTGGAAAAAATCTAACTAACCAGGTTCTAGAAATTTTTGGAACTTTGGAACTTTTTCCACGTTTTTGACGTTTTTCGTAAAACTTTATGGTCATTGAGCACCCCCTAAACATTATCTGATTGGAAAGATTTTTTACACAGTCAATTACTATGTCAAATGGCACAAAATAAACAACTGTGCATTCAAATCCGAGAAAAAATTTTTTTTCCTGTGTTCACATGAACAGCCCTAATATATATATATATATATATATATATATATATATATATATATATATATATATATATATATATATATATATATATATATATATATATATATATATATATATATATATATATATATATATATATATTTATATATATATATATATATATATATATATATGTATATATACATATATATATATATATATATTCTTGTGTATTTATATTTTTTTATGTATATGTTTGTTACCAATAAACATTCTTTTTATTATTCAGCTACTAAATCTTTTGTTTTCAATCAAAGTTGTATAAAAAAGACTGGTATTTTTTTAATTTATTATTTAAATTTTATATTTGGCTTGAATTTAATTATTTGATTAATGTTTTATACTGTTTTTCTTTGGGTTTTTTTTGATGCGTGTTTCATTGATTAAAATAAAACTAAAAACAATAAAAAATTATTGTTTTTAGTTTTATGTTTTATAATAACAACATTTTTTATATATTAGGTTTATATACAAATGCATCTGAAGGTTGTTTTCTTAAGGTTGAACTTATGTTTTGCATTATTGTTTTGTGATATATTTAGTTTTTGTCTTTTTTTTAAATAAGTTTGTTTTTTAATAATTTTAAATGATTATTTTATTTTGTTTTTATAAAATTTTTTATATGTTATTTTTTATTAATTTTCTGCTGTTTTAATTTTTAAATTTTTTTTATTTTATTCAGAATATGCATCTTTTAGATGAAAGTATTGAATTTTCTAATAATTTGCTACTATCTGGAAATTTTGATGAATCAATAGTTAGTTTTCCAAAGAGTTATTTGGAGGTACAATAATTTTTCATCTATTTATTCTTTTTATTGTTAGCTTTTATTGGTTTATATAATTATCATTTATGCTTTTTTTGTGTGCATTTTTTTGATTTATCTCTAACCAATACAGTTCATAACTATTTTTATTTGTTTTGCCTTTTAGTTAGAAAAAATTCTTGCAAATTTAAAAGTTGGTTTTAACAGGATAGAATGAAATAGAGGATATAAAAAATAGAAAATATAATTAAAAAGAGTAAATACATTTACATAATATAAAAATAACAAGTATGAAATAGTTATGACAATATTTTTTCTTTCGCTCTTTTATTTTATTTTTGTTTTATTTTATTTATATATTCAATTAAGTCTCATCCTTTTTCTATGACTGTTCTTAAGTGCTCCAAAAACTCTTATTCCTCTAGTTTTTTTCCTCAAACATCAGTTTTTTAGAATTCGCTTCCTTCATCTTGCTTTCCTGATTCATATTATTTGCAATCTTTTAAGTCGTCTGTCAATTGTTATTTTTCTCTACACTCTTCGCCTTTTCTTTTTCATTAACTTCCAACTCTAATAGTGGTTGCTTGCAGTCTTGTTAAAAGCGAAGATGTTTGAAAAAAAGAATTGTTATTTATTGATATTTATTTATATATTTTTTAATCATGCTGTAGATAACCTTTTGTTAAGCATGATGATACCAAATTTTAACCAAAAATGTTTTTAAATTTTTTTATCAAGATTGCAACTTTTGGTAAAAAGTTATGAGTTAAAACAGAAACACGGTATTAAATTACGCTCTACTTTATGTTTTACTTTTTGTTTACTTAGGGTTTTTATTAAATATGTCAAATCTGAGCAATAAATCTTTATAAATTCTTTGCATAAATCAAAAAAAACTTAAATGCAAAAATTATCATACAAGAGTGTATGGTCAAATTATCTTATTAGAGCTTTGATGAAATTTACAATGACATCAAGGTCAATTCTATCTGTTTTTCAACAGATAGAATTGTGAGATAATAGAGGTTTTTCATCAACCAGTGGAGTCATTAGCAGAGTTTTTTAACACGCTGTTAAGCAAGTCCAACTGAAGCAGGTAATAACAAAAATACTTCATGTCATTTGTGGAATTTTGATGAGTTAAACTTCTTTTGATAAGTTTATTAATACTATTTATCAATGATATTAATTTTTATTATTTTTTATTAACGATAATAATTTTTTAAAAAGTAATTGTTATACCATAGCATGAAGTCTGAAAAGCTTGCATATGTCTTAATTTTGTTATTTTTGTTATTTTAATGTCTTAATTTTGTTATTTTTCATATATTTTTTTATTTTTCAAGACTTTTTTTGTCTGATTGGTATTTAGCGAAGTAATTGTTCTATTATTATGTTTGTTTATGTTATTCATGATATTGTTATTTTCAATAATTCTTTTATTATTTGGAAAAAACCAAGATTAAATATCTGTTATTGTTGCTTTGCTGTTTTTTTAATGTTGTAATGTTGTTAAAAAAACAATAAAGCAACAATAACACTGAAAGTGCCAATATTGTTTATGCAATTTAAAATTTACTGTTTATCGGTGCTAATATGTTCAAGTAACTTTTCCTTCTTTTTTTTGATGTAATCTTTACTTTTTATTTTAATTAAAACAATTTGCCATAGAGCTAGACACTCACTTCCCCACTGCATGCTATCATTAAAGTTTAAAAAAATTGTTACCAAGTATACCAAGCAATCATAGTCAAAAGTAAACAAAACTATATTCATAGTATTCAAATCAGTATTGGCCATATAAAAAACAATTACAGCTGATATTGCATAAACCAAGTTGTGCGAGCATTCCATTCTCTATATTTTAATATCAAAAAAGGCTTAAATTCTATATTTAGATTAGCATTTGCAAATATGAATTAATATTCTAAACTTCGTTTTTCAGCATTAATTTTCAAAATAAAAACCAAAGCTTTAAAATTGTTTTTTAAATATTAAACAGATTTTAGTTAGATGTAATAGTAAATAATTTAGTTGCAAAAAAAATTGTCTTTTAATTTTATAACTATTTTTACTTAAAATTAGTGTTTGTGTAAAATTGTGCTTGTTGGTTGTGTTTGTGCTTGTTGGTTGATTCAACAAAAAAAAAACTTAAGTTTTGTAAAATTATTTTCCTTTGATTTTCTTATCATCCAGCTCTCGGTATTTTTTATGAAGATACTTGTTACTGAAGGTATTCAAAACAAGTGATACTCTTTCTACCATAAAAAAACAACTTACCTAGGAGATAGAAAACTCTGATATAAAAACCCTAATTTAAGTTGATAAGGATAGAAGGAGCTTGTAAACTTGATATGGTAAACTTTCGTGGTATCATATAAGGCAGGAATAACAGGAAAGACAAAAATTGCTTTGAACTCTTCAACAATATTAAATATAAATAAGAAATAAGGATTACATTATAAAAAAACTGTCCGAGCCACGTAAGTACTAGACCATGGATGTTAAACTTAAAAAAAAATACTGAAGTTAACTTGATAAGTAAATTTTTCTTTTGCTAACTCGGTTCATAACAATAACAATAATAATAAATACTAACTAAAGACTCAAATAAATAATAATAACTTAATAAAAACTTAATAATAAACTTGTATAATAATATTACTCAATTTTACACTACTTAACAATTTGATCGACAAAACGCAAATTAAATAATGTAAATAAAAAAAAATTTTCCATGTTATTACAATATAAGGTATGTTAGTGTATTTTTGGTAACTGTTTTAAGTTGGTCACTTTCTCTAAAATTTTGTTTAAACAAAAAGTTTTAGAAAATATCATAATGTAAAAGCAGATCAATATAGAGTAGACATCTATAAAAAAATGTAAAAAAGTATTTTTGTTTGATGACTTTTTTGTGAGAGGGTATTTTTGTACATCAATTTGAAAAAACCATATTTACTTATTTAAAACTTCCTAAATTTTAAATAATAAACTAGTTTTAAAATTTTAAAAAATACAATTTAATAGATTTTTTTATTCTGAACCTAATGGTAATATTTTAATTTTATTATTTTGTAAAATAAGAAAGTTATTTGATAAAAACTAAAGAAAGGTAATATTTTCCTACTTGATAGTTGGTCAATAATTGATAAATAATGATTGATTATTTGTGGCAAGAAGTAACCAATAAATGTTTACTTATTTAATTACTTCTGTCAGTAATTATTAAAATTATGATCTACGCTAAATTTCTTCTTTTACTATAAAAAAGTATATTGCTTCTACTTCCTTGCTAAATTTCCTTCTTTTTCTATAAAAAAGAATTTCTCTCCTTATTTCCTAATAAGCTCATACTAATCTTATCTCCTGCAAACTGATATAAAAAATAAAAAACTATCACTATCAACAAAGTCCCATACACTATCAACAAAGTCTCATACAACAGCTACAGCGAAAGTGTTGAAAATGATTAGAAACTGCTTTATCGAGAATATGCTTTATGGAGAGCAAGGAATATCATTAAGAAAGTGTGCATTAAAGTTTAATCTACCAAAATCGACATTGATTGACAGAAATAAAAGTAAAAAGGCAGGTCAAAATAGAAATAGAAGGCTAACAGCTATATTAGTTAAAAATGAAAAGTTATTGGTTCATTTAATTCAATATTTTAGCGAATGGTGTTATGGTTTGACACCTGTCAATATAATTTCTATTGTTCAACGCTATTTGAAAAAAATACGAAAAAGCATTTATTCAAAAATGGCAAATGTTCATTACAGTGTTAGTATGATTTTAAAGAGAGATGGAAATATGATGTACAGTGTCTCAAAAAAATTATACGACCAAACATTTTTAAAAATATTTTTCCTAAAAAAAGTGCTGTATTTTTGTAAATTTTGGCTTTTTTGGTAAACTCAAGGTTAATAAAAATAAAAGAACATGTTTTTAAATAGATTTTATTTATTTTAGTGTAAAATATGAATCACAAAGTTTTCAGTCTTAAAATAAAGGAACTTCGGTCGTTTTTTTATTGTCAAAAAATATTTGACTAAACATATTTTTTGTTCCATAATAAATTATTAAATAACAAAACAATTATTTTAATACTTTGTAGGGCCTTCCTTTGCTTGGATTACAGCTTCTAGACGCCTAGGCATTGATTCAAAAAAAGATTTTGTTTCTTCTTGTTAAACCTTTTCCCAGGCTTCTTTAATTGCCACTTTGAGGTGATTTTTTTTGGAAAATGACTGATCTCCAATTTTTCGGTCTAAAACTTTCCACAAATGTTTAATGGGATTAAGGTCCAGTGATTGTGCGGGCTGTTCCAAGACCTCAACATTATTTTCAGCAAGTCACTCCTTGGTTTTAGTGGCACTATGCTTGGGATCGTTATCTTGCTGAAATGTAAAATCAGATCCTAGCCGAAGTTTTCGAGCAGATGACTTCAAATTTTGCTTTAAAATGTTTCTGTATTGCACCTGATCCATTATAGTATCAATAAATTGAAGTTTTCTGAAACCCTATCAAGCCATTCAACCGATTTTTCTTGAATTTTTCTTGATAATTAAGTTTCTATCAAAACTCTTAGTATTCTTTTTTTTGCGACCCTGTCCTTCTTTTGTGGCTGTTGTTCCGATCAAATTATACTTCTTTGTTATGTCGGATACTGTATTATGAGGAATTCCAGTATTTTGCTGACGATAACCTGACGATAGGTCTTACTCTGATTGAATAGAAAATTTCTCTGAGAAACACTCCAGTGACGTTTACCTCCAACCATTTTACTTTTTTTATTTTTAAAAAAAACATGAAACCTTTTTTTTATACAAAACTTTTTTTTTTTAATACAAAAAAACAGTTTTTTGTTATGCAATTTCATTAATTGTATAAAAATTTGCTAAAATATTTCAACAAATTTCACATATTCACAATTTAACTTACCTTAATATTGCTTGGTCGTATAATTTTTTTACAAGCCTATTCAATACTAAGTTTCTTTTAGGACAAATAATAAACCAACTGAAGCATGAATCAAAAGATATGAATGCTAAATAACACACTATTCCCAATAGACTTAAAATGACAAAGTAAGTATCGCTATTCATTGTTTTTAGTATAATTTTGAGCGTAAACATTTTTTTTTGTGAAAAACTTGTTTGGTCGGATAATTTTTTGAGACACTGTAGAATTACGTAGAGCAGGTAACATAACATCAAACAGAGCGTCATCTTGCACGTCCTATTTAACTCCTTTGATTGTTTATATATCAAAAGGTTACTTATATTATTCATGGTGCAAAAATGGTACAACCAGCACATTGTATACAAAATCAGAATCATGGATGGAGAAATTACAATTTATTGAGTGGTTGGAATGGCTATTCATACCAGCAGTTAAAATAATGGATAGAGAACACATTCTTGTGTTAGATGGTCACAGATCTCATCATGTCACAGATCTCATGTGTCTACCTACTCATTTAAGTCATATTTTGCAGCTACTGGACGTTGAAATAAATTGACTGGAAAAACATATTAACATTATATTACCAATCATAAAAATGCAAAAATATTGATAAAGTTAATTTTCCAAGTTAATTAAAAGTTTTATATGAAAGTGGCAAGTGCTTCACTAAAACGCACGCAGTCAGTTCAAAAAAAACAGGGTTATATTTATTTAATAAATCTAATATTGCTCTATCAAAATTGAAAATAACAGAAACATTTGAAAGTCAAGCACAAAACCTAGCATCACAATAAGCATTGACTATATCATCAACTGCACATCGTTCATCAATTTCTTTATTATCAATGTTAAATATTTCAGTTGAATATTATAGCAAAACATGCATTACAATTAAAATTCGTTTAGAATTGAAAACATTTCTGCAACAAATTAATAACTTTGAGAGTTGAAAGTTGAAAGTTGAAAAGTATATAGTTGTTATTTATTGTTATTTATAAAGTTGAAAGTTGAAGTTGAAAGTTGAAAAGTATATATTTCCGGTCAAAAATTGTTTCTTGTAAAATTAATTTTAAGAAAATTTTATAAAACTTCTTTTTTTTTTTACACATTATTATAGAAAACGAAGTCTTTTATCTACTGAAAAAAAAACCTTTCCCATCAAAAAAAATTAAAGTTTTAGAATGTTGATCAAAATTAGACTGATTTACCCTATTATTGAATATTACAAGTAGTAATTATACAAACCAAGCATAGAATTTAAATATCAGAAATTTTTGAACATTACCAAGAAATATATAATATAAAGCACTTTTTTTAAATTAATAAAACCGGTTTTTTAGTGATCTAAAATAACAAAAAAAAATAAAATAAAAAAAATAACGGTTTGTTGGTTACCCACAACCGGGTTTACAAATTATACATATAATAACTAAATGATTTTAAATTTCTTTAGACGATTTTTAAATATGAAAAAAATCTTCGAAAGATAATTTTTGAACTTCAGCCATCTCTTGAGAGGTTGGGATTGGGAAGCAGTTGTATATTGCATGATGATGAAGAAGAAAAATCTAATCCTTTTTTACTTATAAGTTTGTTTATTTATTTTGTATTTTTATTATCATCTTTTTTTGTTGATTATTGTTATTATTATTGTTAAGTTTTTAAAAATAAAAAAAATTATAATATGTTTTTAGAAAAAAGCGATATTTTAGATAAAGCAAGAGAAATGGGAGGTGGACAATTTGTGGATATGTTGTGGGCTACTGGTTTGGCAAAGGAAATTTTAAATTCTAATAAAGATATTACATTAATAGTTCCTTTGTCAATACGCAACATTCCGGATTTTATTAAAAGAAAAATGAATAATGCTTGCTTGCTTAGACGAATGCTTAATTATCATATTGTTCCTGGGAAGCAATTGCTTTCAAGTTTGAAAAATAATGATGTAACAATATCACTTTATGAAACTAATGAGTCGATCAATAATAACGAATTCCACGAGGTAATGTATAAGTTAAATTTATCTAGTTGTTTAATTTAATGTAGGGAGAGTGATACATGGGGCACCATGAAACATTGTAATTTTGAAGGCATCTTAAGAGTTGTGGCAAACATTTTCATATGGTAAAGCAGTTACTACTAGAGATGTGTTGACAAAAAAGTTATATCATTTGGTATCATTAGGCCTGCGAGGGATCGAATTTTGTATTTTTTTGATGACGAAGTAATTTAATAGTTTTTTAATTATCTAAGCTTTGAGGTATTTTATTCAATCTGTTTATCGGTAACTAACATTATTTTGTAAACTACAATTCATAAGCTCTTTACTTTGTTAAACAAAATTAATGAAAAAACAAGTTGATCCTACAAATGAAGCGATTGTTTTATATTAGCAAGTTTTAAAACTGTAAAATAGTACTTCTTTGTGTCATAAACAATTATAAAAATCATTTTTTTTTTAAATATTTAAATATTTAAATATTTACAGTCAATTATTTTGGAGATTTGTGTAAATATAATACTAGGAAATCCAATTTTAATACAAATTATTTATAGACGCCTAAAAATTTAAAACGATATTTTTTAAAAACTAAAAAAAGTCTAAAGGTTTCTAAAATGTGGTTTTGATCATTAGATGCTTTATTTTGGATTTTTATGATTATTTTTTTTTTTTAAGTTCCATGGTACCCCATGGGTAGAGTAACTTCTTATAAGTATAAATAGATTCTAAAAATTAAACAAATCGCTTAAAATAAAAGTTTATTAAAAAATTATTACGAAGCAAAAGCCAAGTTTATCTAATACCCCAGTCTCTCCTACAATTTAAACGTTGGAAAGCATTAGAATTTTTTTGTTTATAGAAATGAAACAAAAAAGAAAACGCAATAATTATTGTATAATATGCTTGACGTATTTTTATTTTAGTCGGCTACTTTGAGAGGTGCTGTTGTTAAAGGTTTCGACATTGAAGTTCGTGGTGGAGTTATACATACTGTGGAAACATTTATATTACCGATAGAGATGGATACATAGCCTATGCTTGAAGTACACAAGTTTTTATTTAATGTTCAATTAAAGTTAAATGATTCTGCACAAACAAATGTTATACTTACCGGCCATTATGTTTCCGACCGCTCAAAATTAAAAAAATTTAAATTAATAACGCGAATTATATCAAATTGTTTTGACAAGAGACCTGAGTTTTTATGCTTTTTATAATTTGAGAGCTTTCACTTTCACTTTATTTTTTTCCATAACATAGCAACATGTTAATTGTCGTTAGGTGTAGGTTTTTAGTAAAATTTCGTCGCGGTTATTAGTGTACATAGTATCAACGTGATGGAATAGTAAACGAGGTACATAATTCGTTGTAAATAAATTTAGAACTCAAATAACTTTACTAAATAATTAAATGAAAACTTCCAAGTTTTTGTTTAGTATATATTGACTAGCTAGATGTTTTAAAAATAGATTAATAGATATTTAAAATAACATTAAACAATGGTTTTCCAGCCATTTCAACATTTTTTTGGGTGCATTTTTCAATATTTTTTGAGTGAATTGTAGAATTTTTCTAATGTATTATTAAAAAAATGTTCTTAATTGCTTTTTTTTTCTATCGCAGTTGTACTCTGTAAAAAAAATACATGGTAAACATGGCTACGAAATAAGATAAGCAAAGAAGAACATCAACCAAGAATGTGTCATTGGTTAAAATAATGTGTTTTTGAGTATATTATAGGCAGTAATTTAAAAAAATAAAAGTTGCTTGTTGCGAACTGTAATTTGAAAATTTAAGTATCATACTATAACGAATGATTTTAATATCCTACTATAAATGTTTTAGAAATAAAATACACTACAAAAAAAAAAACAATTTATTTTTATACTGTGGGAAACATAGTTAATTAAAGCCCCTAATGTTCCGCGACAGATTTAATTCACAGAGTTTCTTACTCTTTCAATATTTTCAATTATTTAAATTTTAATAAAAGTCTATAGTAGGAACAGTAACTATTTACTTGCTATAAAAAGTTGCTTAATCATACTTATGATCAATTTTTAGTTGCTTTTTTTTTCACAATCTTTTCTCTTTTTGGTGTCTTCATCTTATTAACATGTGGTACCTATATATTAGACTTTTTACTGATTTTCATAAGAAGCATTGAATTTTTTTAAATGTAACAATAGATGGGAGACAGTGTTGTTCTAACCGGCTCTAGTTAAATAAGTGGCATTGGTAAGGAATGAGGTGAGAAATTCCTAGTTAAATGTTTTTTAGCGGTGCTCTGTAATAAGATCGTAAGGATTTCTGAGTGCTTTTTTAAATCTTGTTCTTTTTTTTATCAAAAAGCACTTTACTAAATTCTATCAATTCAATTAATATGTAAACTATTTTTAAGTGAAACCACACTGATGTAAAGAATTTAATGATACATTAAAATTCCTAAGTGCTTGTTTTAAATATATCTGCTTTTACTTGTTGCGATAGCAACATCCTTTCGGTTAGCTTAAATAGTTAGCTTATATTAGAGACTTTTTGATTTTAATTGATTCTTTTTTGGTTTCCAAAAGTTCTCATCTTTTTTGATCTGTTTGGTTTTGATCTATACCAATCAATATACTTTTCTATTTAAATTTTATGTATCTTATTTTATTGTATGGGTAGTAGCAAAAATATTATCTGTAACTTCTTATTAGATTTTTTTTTTTTTTGGTATTTTCATTATTATTTTTTTTTTACATAAGCAAAAGCGTCTTCATGATCTTTTACCTATAAGACTTATTTTACGTACAAGACCTATTTTACGTATAAAACCTATTTTACGTATTAGAACTATTTTACCCTATGATCTTTTACTTATAACAGTAAACTTATCTATGAGCAATTGATTTACGTTATTTGATCATAATCACCATTGAAAGTTAAAGTAAATGAATTTGGTTTTTTTGAAACATATGTTTTTAAACTTTTAAAATTTCATTGTTGGGACTGCAAACAATAGACAAAGTCTTCTCATTTTTATAATACTTGTGAGTATTTTTAACAATTACTTTTACATTTAGAGAATCACCTTACCGAATATAAGGTTTTATTGTTTAAGGTTTGCAATAGCGAATCTTAAAGAAATAATCCAAATAATTTATCAAGGTTATTCATTAGATTTTGTAATGTTCCAAAAGCTGCATTTATCCAAATAAAGTTTGTGTTTTTTCAACACTAATCACTCCATACAATACTAAAGGTTGAGTTTTTGTGTGAGTTTCACACAAAAATATTAAAGGTTAAGTTATTGTGTTGATCTCACACAAAAACTCAAATTTGTAGTTGTGTCCATAGTTCTTAACTGGATTTATGTCTGAAGAGTTTTCGGGCTGTTTAAGTACTTTGTAGAACCCTTCACAAACCCCTCCTTCAATTTTTTTGAGTGTGGATGAGGCTTCATCCTGTTAAAAAATTAATTCTCGATCACTAAACCACTTCCTGGCTAAAAAAAACTAGACAACTTTATAGCACTTTTATCTACTTGTTCTGGTTCATTGTCACCTCAACTATGTGTTGACTATGTGTCAACTAAGTCGACTTGTGTCGTACACAGATAAAATCTTTGTTGAAACTTTTAGTCTTCTTTAAGCAGATTAAAAGTTTTCTCCTGATTGTCTTTACAATATCTGGACTCTGTCATCTAAGACTGCAACTGCCCAGTGGGCACTGGACCTAAAAAAGACGTTTTTTAAACGTTCAAAAGACGTCCAAAACGTTCAAAAGACGTCCAAAACGTGTATAAGACGTTTAAAAGACGTCTTTTTTACTTCCGTGCCCACTGGGTGCGAGCCCTTCAAAAAAGACCACCTGAAAGAGATTTTAAACAAAAACTGAATATTTGGCGCTTGTAATATTCTCATTTAAAATTATATTTTGCATAATTTTACATTTCAGTCTTAATCATGCCAATAAAATGTTCATAAATTACTAATAAAAGGGTATCTTTATCCTTACTTTGCCCCAATCTTCTTCTGTACAGGTTTCATACTCTTTGAGCCACTCCTTTGGCTGTGCTTCATTAGATTTGTCAAATTTGGTTTTTCTTGATCAATCAAACTTCGTGCTTCGACGCCCAATAAGCGATATTGGTAAGTTTGCTACGGCTTTTTAGTTACCAATCCAAATTGTTTACAACATTTTTAACTGATGTCTTTTTCAAATTAATGATTATATTGTCAATGTAGTGGTCAGCTGCTTCACTAGTGCCTACATCGAGATTCAACACACTGCCTAAGATTAAAAACATAATTTTTGGGGCAGAGTTTAATCCAAGACGTGTAAGGTAGTATTTTCCTTCATCGTAAACTACCCTCTGATGCTTCTACAAAATTGGATCAATGTGTATTTACATAAAAGTGCATCTGAGATCAAGCGTTGTCAATTTGTCATCAACAGTTTTCCATCTTCTCACTTTTTTATCACATGCATCACTCGAGGTATTATATAAATTAACATAATGGTTTAACTCGCAAAAGTCCAAAACAGGTTGTATTTTCCCTTTATTTTCCTGTTCAAATGCCATTAACAGGGTTTTTCACGAATGAATCACTTTCTTAAAATGATGTATCGACCGGGGTTTTACCTTGTAATGCGGCAGAATTCCTCAGTTGTGGTTCAACTTGTTTCCATTTATATTTAGCAGTCCATTTTGTACCATCAAAATAAGCATCAAAGTTCTTGACCTTCATACCAACAGCTTGTTTCTCTGTATAAAATGAAACAAAACCAAATTCAATTTTTCTTTTGTACAAGTGCACTCTTTTACAGCGAATAATGACATCCATACCAATAATAGCATCAATACTCTTGGTAACACTTTTTAAAATTATTACTGACGTTTTTAGTTTTTTTCCTTCAACGTTCAATTTTACTGTAGCTTCTCCCTCTGTTTTTATAAATTCTCCATTAACAGCTAACACCATTAATTCATTTTTTTCTGATACAAACACCGGCTTTTTGAGCCATGTTGTTTGAAATAATAGTTTGAATACATCCGCTGTCAACCAGTGTTTTTCTGAAAAAGTGTTCAGCTACACAGTACATAATGGAAGCGCCGTTAGTTGTTTAAGGAAACAACTGACACTGAAGATTCCCTATCTGAGTTTCCCTGAAGCAACGAACAAAATCTCGCTATGTGTCTCGCAATGTGTCCAGATTTTCAACAATCTCTCAATGTATCCCAATTTTCTACATCTGAAACATTTTATTTCATCATTAACAATTTGTTACTTCAAAAAAAAACAGATTCAAGAAAAATGTCCAGGCTTGCCGCAATTGTAGCAGTTAAAATCAGTAGCGGATGGTTTCTTAATAATTTTATAGAACCCAGAGAATGTTGTTGAAACATAATCTTCTTTAATTATTTTTCGAGTACTCTTGCATAGTTTAATGCACCATATAAATTAATCTCAAATATTTTCACTTGTGCTCGTAGCTGCTTCGAAATTTCACCTGGCAATTCAGTTATGAACACTCATAGCAATAATTCTTTACTTTCAATATTGGCCGTACCCAAAAGTTGACGCAAACTGACCGACCGAAAGAAAGCTCATCTATTGCAACTCTCTTTCAAACTAGCGGGAGAGAACAAAAACATCTCATCTATTGCAACCGTTTGATTTTTTTTCAGCCACACAAAAAACATCTCCAGATCCATCAAATTTTCCGATCATTTTTTCCAAATTATTTCCTACCTTTATTGAAAGGTTGGTTTTAGCGTGACGTTCTTTATAGATGACCCTTTATGAAACATACTATGCCATTATTATTTCATAATTCTAATTTATTTACTTACTCGCAGACCGATTTGTGAACTTTACTTAACACGCGTCATTGTATAAAACACCAAACTCTACTTATTTTTATTTGTGGTTGTATCTTTATTATTATTATTTCAATAGTTTTATTTAAATAAACCAAATTGTTTTATAGTATTATTTTCATTATAGTTAGCTACAATAATATAATAATTATATTGCTAGCTAAAAAGCTGTGTTTGTGTATACAAACCACACCTTTTTACCTATAATTAAAAAGGTGTGTATAGAAAACCACAGCTTTTAGCCAGCGATATTATTATTAATAAATTATTGTAGCCAACTATAACATAATACTAAATCTTTATCTATTCGATAGCTACAAATCGTAACTTTGTTACAGATTATTATAGGTTAACACTTTATAGATTTATGTTTAACAAGATACAAAACTGCAAATATTACTTTAAAGTTGCAAATTAAATACCCGCGATAAGTATATACGTATTGCTATAGCGATACGTGACTATAGCCTCCAAGTAGCTATAGAGTTGTCGTTACACAGCAGAGACGAAAATACGCTATACAGCTATCGATATATCATAGCAACACCGCTAGTTTAAAAGCTATGATATGCATCCATCTATTTTTAGATTTGCAATTATTAAGTTTTTGTTTGCTAGATACATACAACCTGTAGCTTTCAACATATCGTAATAATAAGCTACAAATATTGTACTTATCGTAATTTTATCTAACTACAATTCTGTGATATGTGTCCAGACTAACAACAGTTTTGTCGTAACAAATTTGCAGCATTTAATTATTATCATAAATATATTAACTTAAGGTGGTCCTATACTAATAAAACTAAAGTTTTAAAAATGCACTCATATTTTATGATTTTTATATAAAAAATAATATTTTTTATTTAAAGCACAGTAAAGGAAAAAAAAATTAATTTTTTTTTTGGCCAAAATTTGGGGTCTGTGGACCCTAAATATGGGTTACGCGCTGCGATAAACAGCCTGTAAACTAATAATGGTATGATCATAAAATTTTCACAGCATTTTAATATCAGATAATTTCACTCATCCTGCCAAAATCAAATAATTAAACAAACTATTGAAGCTTTTGTAAGAAAACCGGTTTAAAGCCTAGAAAAAAGCCCCGAAAAGGCTTAGAACCTAGATCTTATTTTTAGAACCAGTTAACTAACATGAATTTTTTTGGTAAGGTGAATGTGTATATATATAAAAAACAACTCCTAAAAATTTTAACACAATCAGACAAGCCAATCTCAAGCTATTATCGCAGCGTGCAAAAAACTTTTATATTGAGAAAAATAATAAAAAAAATTTTTAATGAAAAAAAAAAAAAATTAATATATAAAAAGGTCAAAAAATTATTGAAAAACAAAACGACTTGAGCATTATTAAAAACACAGAAAAAAGAAAAATGTGAAATCTCTAATATTTGAAAAACATTTAACCAAATCAGAATTATTCAATCAAGGAAAAAAAGCTTAAATATAAAAAGATAATATACAATAACTACATTAAAAAAATACAATAACTGCCTTAACATAAACTTAATTTAAAAAGTAGCAAAAAACTAATATCTAAAAAACTCCTGCTTCATAAGATGCATCTTCACTTTTATTTACTGTATCTGTAAAGCCTTTTCGTTCAG